TCCTCCTCCTCTTCCTTCCTCCCCTCACCCACGCGCAACACATACACGGTGCGTACATGAGACACGCGTCTACATACAGCCGCACGCATGCGCACACTCGCAAAAACACCATACAACGCCAGTGCGCGCCTGGCGTGTTGACTGTATCACGCATCATACACCCGCATAACACGCCATAGACAAAACATGCGTGTAGGATTCGCAGTACATAGCAGGCGTTACCATTCTCGACAAAATAGGGCGTGCGCAAGGGTTAATCTCTGAGCGCGGCCGCTTTCCGTGACGGTCGTCCATGGCATAGCAGGCGCGCATATACTCGACACCACAAGGGCGCGCAGGGGGTAGTCTCTGATGGCGGCCGCTATGCGTGACGGTCGTCCAGGGCATAGCAGGCGCTGCAGTTTTTCGACATTTCAGGGGGTGCGCAGGGGGTGGTTTCGGAGGGCGGCCGCTACCCGTGACGGCCGTCCAAGGCACAGCAGGCGCGGGCACCATATTCTCGACACCTTAGAGGATGCGCAAAAGGTGGTTTCCAAAGGCGGCCACTATCCGTGACACCTTAGGGGGGTCGCAGGGGGCGGTCTCTGAAGGCGGCCGCTATCGGTGACGGTCGTCCAGGGTATAGCAGGCGTGGGCACATTCCATTTTGCAGCGCCCAGGCCCGAATCCCACCAGCCCTATGGGCGCCGGTGTTTTAGGGAGTTTCCTCTTCCACCCCTCCTTCTTCCCCTTCGGGGAAGGGTTTATCACTGTTCCCTATTAATATACACCCGCCCAGGCGACCGGGAGCCAACCCAGGTCCGTGAGGGCCCCACCCCACCATCCCTTGTAAAAAAACAGTACAGAACACACTTTGCCCCCACCACCCCTTGTATCAAGAACAATACAAAACATTTTGTCTCCAAATTCGGAGCATGCGCAGCGAACCCGATGCGGCCTCTCCCCACCATCCGTGTCAAAAAGACAAAACAAAGTACACTTGGCGGCGGCGGCGGCTGCGGCGGCTGCGGCGGGGGCAGCGGCTGCGGCGGCTGCAGCGGTGGCGGCGGCGGGGGCGGCGGCGGCGGCGTCGGGGGCGGCGGCGGCGGCAGCGGCGGTGGAGGCGGGGCGGCGGCAGCGGTGGCGGCAGCGACTGCGGCGGCAGCGGCTGCGGCGGCGGCGGCGATGTTGGCGGCGGCGGCGGCGGCAGCGGCGGGCGGGCAGCGCGGCGGCGGCGGCAGCGGCGGACAGCGGCGGCGGCGGCGCGGCCCCAGCGCGGCGGCGGGCGGCGGCGGCGGCGGCGGCGGCGGATTGGCCCCCAGTAGCTGCTCATCCAAAGGCGACTGCTGCATATGTTGCGGCTCGGGCCAGGCTGCGGGAGGGCGGGTGGGAGTGAACGAGACGGCTTGCGGGCGGGGAAGGCGTCTTGACCCCTCCCCCTACTCCCTCCCCTGGACCTGGACAGGGAGTTCCGCGAGGTGTCGGAGCGTCCAAAACGGCCTCGGCGAGGAAGCACGAATCATTGGTTTTACTACGTTGTTTGCCCCATTATTTTGGCCTCTTGGGGGGGGGACGCAAATTTGTACCCCCCCCTCCTGTGATCGATCTCACCCAAAATGGCCCAAAGATGGTCCCCAAGGCTCGCAAGGGTGCCCCAAGAGGGCCCCAAAAGGTGGCCAGGAAGCCCCAAGAGGCCCCAGGATGCCCCCAAGAGGCTCCCTCCAAAACCCCAAGAGGCCCGACAAGACCCCCCAGAGGCACCCAAGATGCTCCAAGAGGCCTCGGCGAGAATGCCAAATCATTGATTTTAAGAAGGCTTTCGCCACATGTTGGCCTCTTGGGGGGGCACTGGTTAAGATGACTCCAAGAGCGCCTGGGCGAGCCCACAATGACCTCCAAGATGGCTCAAGATATCCCAATGTGCCTTATAATGGCTTCCTCTGTGTGCTGCCCACTTCCCTGATCGACGCAAATCCTCTGGGCATCGTTTCTGGATGGGCTGGTGGGGATTCGCGAAGCGTCAACAATTTTCCCAGCCAGCTGGTGGGTCAAAGTGGGGGTCAGACAATGAAGCCCAGGCTTTTGCCCCTTCTGGGCCCCCTCAGGGTTCTCAGGCTCCCAAGGCTTGACCAGCGCCACCAACGGTATCGGCGAAGCAACGACCACCAGCATCATTCTCGCCAGTTTCACGTCAGCTATCATTACGAGAGACAAATGATAAGTATATGAGGTTCTTCGGTCGCGTAATTTCATGACTCGAGGAGGTTCTGGGATCTCAGGGTGTATGCCAGCGCCGACGCTGACGTTCACCTCCCAGGATATAGCGGCAAGGGGCGGGCAACCGACACCGCGCGCGGCCCCGGAGAGCGCGGCGAGTACGGAGACCCTGGACCTCAGGGGCGACCCGGGAGGCGTCACGCCGGATGCGACCTCAGCGTCAGTAAACAACTCGTGATGAAAATCAGGCGGCTGGTAATGGGGTGTGGCCTATACTGGGGGGGTGAAAAGAAACCCTGAAAGGGCCCTTTAGGGCACCTTTAGGGCCCTTCTTCACCCCATTTAGGTCACCCCCAATTGCCACCCGCCCGACAAAGCCCGATCCCAGGGACTGGGTCAAGACCTCCGGTGGTCGAAACTGTACCAAAAATCAATACTTCGGGTGCTTGAGCTATGACCACTCGAGGCTCAAGCTCGGGAGCACTTGCCCGCCGTGACTCCTTCCACCGGAGGGTTCCAAAGAGGTGTTTTGGGGAGGGGGCCTGTCCACAAAGCCTCCCAGGGCTTCGCAACGTCATCATCCTGGGCTTGCGAACTGTGTTGAGCCCTTCCTGCGAAAACAAATGCTCCCTGCAGCCCTCCAGCGGAAGGAGCTACGGCGAGCAAGTACTCTCGAGCCTGAGCCTCACATGGTCACAACTAAAGGCCCCCGACGCAATGATGTTTGGCACAGCGTCGACCTACGGAGGTCTCGACCCACTCCCTTGGACCCATTTTTGATCATGAGCTGTTTGCTGACGCTCCTGGAGCCAGGCCTGGGCCCGAGAGGGCGAACATGAGGGGGCGCAGAAAACGTCCGCTCATAGCGTCTTGCGATGCCAGGGGGTACTGCAACGCCGATGTTTTTCCTGTGGCCCGTTTTGGGCCCCTGTAGCAGCAAGCGGAGAAACGGTACTGGGGATGGTGCCGAGCGCTCTGGTTGTCGTGACAAGTATCGGCATCGGAGATCCGGGGAGCAATCCGGGACAGCACTCGCGCCACCCATGCCCGAACGACCCACACTCATCATCTGCTGAGCGTGGGAACGGACAGCCAGCCAGGCAGACACGAACACAGGGCAACACTCCCAAGTCTCCGACGATGTGTCCTTGTTTCAATCCTGGCGTTCTTCCTTCATTGCGGCCAGTGGGGTCCGTTATCGGCTTGGGGACCATCACACGCAGGTCGGGAAGAAACGCCCCCCCCAAGGGAAGGGGTCGGGACCTCTGGGGCCGGGGACTGACAAACTCATGTCGGAAGATGCCTGGGGGGCAACATTGTCCTGCCGAAAGAGAGAAACGCAGGTCAGATCCGGGCGGAAATGTTGACCCGTGCGGCTACAGCATCCAAGTCGGCATTGGAATCTCAATTGGACGGGCTGGGGACACAGGACCACTGGATTGATGACCGCCAAAAAGGAAAATGGATGCACTGCCACTCAAGTTCTCGTTCCAGAGCTCACAGACAAAAAAAAACATCGCAGCAGGGACGGTTAGACCACACAGCCTCTGCAAAAGGTGAATGCAATGTAAAGCTCAAGTTGCCGCTCCCGCCACCAAGCAAAACAGCTACGAGCCAGCAAGCCCACTCCTGGAAGCTAGGCAAAGAGGGCTTTATCCTGGTAGATAAGACCAAAGCAACTTACAGAGACATGCAATAAGGATATATAATGGCAACCTGTCAACTGACAGCGATGACAATGACTGGCACAAACTGCATGTCGCAGGAAGGCCCCTGAAACCCTTCCCAACTGGCTGAATTGCCAAAGCAACAGAACAGTGGCATGCCACGCACAATGTCTTGTCACATAAAACCAAGCGCGAAGACATGCTACATCTGATGACGATGCGTACATGCATACCACCCTGGTTCAAGACGTTTTTTTTCACGTGTGGGCATGCGAACCGTTACGAGTAGCAGTGGATCCAACAACTGGGGAGGTAACACAGGACGCTATACATTCGATGGTCATCGCTGCAGGTACGAAGAAGCTTCGTCCTCTACGATACGTTGTGCACCGCTGTGGCGCTTTAGCAAATGCAGACAGCTCGTCGCGCCTTGCACATTTAGGCCGTGACACGTGGACGAGCAGACAACTAGTCATACTATGCATCCAGCCTTTGGCTGTTATGCAGAAAAAAGGGGGCGATCCATTTGTTTCATATGACACACATAACAGGAACACATATGGTATGACGTGAAATAGCAATTCGAAAGTTTGCTGGCTGGTCCCTGGCCGCTAAGCAGGCACGTGCCTGCCCGCCAACCGTACGGAGGTCTCCCGTATGGGGCTGAACAGACGGGGTCGGAGGATTACGTCACATCGCTAATGCATGGCCAATGCATCGGCGATGCATCGGCGACGCATTGGCGACGCGTCGGCGTGGAGAAATTGGGGCACCATATCAAGCCGCATCTTTTATGCATCGTCGATTCGGCGCAATCCTCCGACCCGACCTGCTCTGGCCCCAACTCGAACGCAGGTGCGCTATGTACGCAAGTACCCCAGCTCATGATTCTTCTTTCTCAGACCGATCAGGAGCAGGAGCAGGATCACGATGACCGGAGGAGGGCCGAGTGAGACAACGGCGGGTCTCCCGCTCAACACACGTGCGCTCAACATCGAGCGCCAGACCTCTCCCGAGGTTCATCCTGATCCGTTGTTCGAGGCGGATCCAGCCGTGACGACGGAGAAGCTTCCAGGCGGCCCGACGAGGACGAAACGCCAGTGAAGGCAGCCGTTGTCTCTACTGGACCTCCTCCAAGATGACGACTATGCAGATCAGGACGCTGGCAAGTAATATCTCGACCATCCTGTCCGATCTCATTCCCGAGTTGGCCGTGCTCGTGTAGACGCTGTTGGACGCAACACGCCCGCCTGGCCTCGAGGGGGGGAGGCGGCTGGCATGCTGAGAGGGACGGAGGACCTCAGACACGCCGGCGACGAAACCAAAATCCCGGCAACACACACATTCTTGCCGCTCCCGGCCTCGGGGGGGCCTCGCCAGGCCCAAGAACCACTAGAAAAACAACTCGGGTTGAAAAACTGGGCCTGGGGAAAGGGTCGGAGCATCCAGGGACCCCGTTTTCAACAAATCGAGACATCGGATGCCCTGGTCCGCGCGTGGACATTAAAAAATCACACCCTGCGGTGCAGGTCACGCTCGTCCTGGACCTGCTAACTATTCAAATGGTTGACGGAACGGCGGTGAGGGCGGGCATGCGCGGAAAGACGCGCCCATCGGTCGGAAGACGTAGGTCGATCATTGAAGTAGGAAGGCGCTTAAAGTAGATCAGAACCTGGGACTCCAAAAAAACCGACTTTCAACGACCGATGGGCATTCGCACCCAGAAGTCGGAATTCGCAATGAGATCAACATCGCTGCCCTGGCGCCGATCCGAGAAATCCGCACGGAGCTCCGACAACCTGCTCTTGGCCGATGCCTGGCATCGGTGGGCTCCTGATGTCGGCGGCGTGCCTTTCAGACGGCTCCGAAGGCCTCCGGCCTTCTGAGAAGCTCTCTGAGCCATGGAGGGCTTCTAAGAAGCACCGCCGCCTTCCGAGAAGGCATGCCTCCTCACACTTCCGCTTCCACAATCGGCGATCCCAGGACAGCCCCCGGTAGGATGCTTTCAACCCGCGGCGCAGGCCTGTCGTGGCAGACTCACTTTTGACAGGCCCCAGGAGCAGAAATGTTTGAAAAACTACCAGCTTGAAGCGAAAACGAATTCTAGGAGATCTGGGATAGTCAGAGTGAGGGGGCCGAACGGTCTTACACCATCCCTGGGTGCGTGGGTGCAGTGGGATTTCCTGGCCAGGATTCTGCTCCTTGTTTGTTGAATAACCATTATTGAACAACTCTTCTTGTTGGACCCCCTTACATCCGCCCTGGCGTCCTCGCTTCGGCGCCAGCTGCACTTCTGTTAAACTTGAGGCTCACGCTCAAGCGTTTCGGGGGTGCTCCCAAACCAGCCCCCCAGCAGCAACAATGCTCCCGCGCGATACGTCCTCACAATTTGCTCCGAGAAGCCCTGGCCAGAGAGGGCCCGAACCTCAGGAAGTGCGCTCTCGCCTGAGATTTCCTCGGAATTTAACAGCACAGGATGGTCCTTCAAGCAGTCTTGCAGCTACTTGCAGGAACCAAACGGTCTTTTCGCCTGAGACTTCACAATTTAGCACCGCCAAGTTGCTGCTACTCGCGGATGCCGGAATGGCCTTTTCGTCTGAGACTTCGTCGCAACTCAACGCCGAATGGGGTCCTTCAGAGCATTCCTGCTGCTGCTCGCGGAACGGCCATTTCGCTTGAGATGTCCTAGTACTTGGGTAGCACAAGGGATTCCGTCAGAGCAGTCTTGCTGCTACTTGCGGGGTCCCCAGAAGGCCCCAGCGCCCATCTCCAGGAGGCCCCAAGAGGCCCCATGAGGCTCTCCTCTGTATTGGGACCTGGGTTCGGGGACAATGTCTCGGCCCCACGTAGGCTTCGCCCCCTAGGGTTCGCCCCGGTAGGTTTCGCCGCCCCTCTCCTGGGGCTCGAATCCTTTGTGTCCGGCGTATGTTCCAAAAGACTTCCCCTCCCCCGGGGCTCGGATCCTTTTAATGTTTTACATACGCTCCTTTACATTACCCATCTCCTGGGGCTCGAATCCTCAGTGTTTTACGTATACTGCAATACATTGCCCCTCATCCTGGGGATCGAATCCTCAGTGTTTCGGATCTCCACCGCTCCCCCACTGAGTCTTTTATGTCTCGTGCGACCAGAAGTGAAAAAGTGTTTCGGGAGAGGTGTTGGTTCGACCTCCTCGGGCGGGAGATCTGGGTGCGAGAATATCGTCCCCCTCAGTGGTGGCGTCATGACGGGTGCATGTGGCATGTAGACGCATGGCGCATGAGGGAAAAATTATTGTTGTCGTCGTCGTCGTCGTCGCCGCCGTCGTCGTCGTCCCCGCGACCCCCCCGCGACCGATCCCGCGATCCACCCCGCGACCCACCCCGCGACCCACCCCGTGACCCACCCGTGACCCACTCGCGACCCACCCGCAACCCAGCCCGCGCCCGCACCCTCACTCTTACCCGAAATTGCGGTGTACCACGTGGCCAATTCTGGATGCTCAGAATTCAAAGAAAATGTATCTTTTGGGCGCATCTTTCTTTTACTTCCACCATATTCTGCCGAGCTTCCACCGAGCTTCCGACGGCGGAGACACCCCTGTTTTACATTCGCCGACTTTCGCCGGTCTTCCACCGAGGAAGAGACGCCAAAGGCGAGGCCTTTTCTGGAACGCCTCACGTCATACCCTGGAAGATCTGGGGCCTCAAAGAGGCCGCACTGGCTGGCCTCCACAGGCACCCTGGGCAATCCAGGGCCGTCCCACATGCACTGGCCCCGTGGCCTTTGGCAGCGCTCAACTGGGCGCTGCTTCATGGGAATGGAGAGACATAGGAGGGTGGGGTGGAGAAAGGTGATATTTGGGCAACCGCATGTGGCCTGACGTACACGTCCCAAGCGATGACGTCGGAGTGGTAGCAGTCGGCCGGGTCGATCTCCCTGCGGAAGAAGCAGCCCCCCGCGCCCGCGCCCTGCGAGCGGAGCACCTGCACGCCCCAGCACTCGGCTGACTGCGCGCACCTCTGCTGGCAGTCCTCGGAGGGAGCGGATAAGAGCGCAGCACCCTGCAAATGCGGATAAGAGCGAGGGGGCGGGCGCGGGTTGGATCGCGGGGTGTGTCGCGCGGTGGGTCGCGGGATGGGTCGCGGCTTGGGTCGCGGGGTGGGTCGCGGCTGGAACGCGGAGAGACAGCGACGACAATCAGTTTTACACTGTTCGCTCTCATCTGCGCTCGAGTGCCAGTCAGCATGTGTATCCGAAACCCTCGATACCCGCCCTCTTCGACTTCGATCATACCCTCCTTGGAGGATATCTCCCTTGCCTGGCACGTGTAGCTGGCACAGCCCCTAAGCCAAGGGAAGGGAGGGCGGAGGGGAAAGACACGGGCGATGGAGGAGGGTCGAGCACGAGAGAGATCAGCAGGAGGGGGTTCGGAGCAGGGAAGCAACCAGGTGGGCGGGTCGGGAAGGCGGGCCCCACGGACGGCTCGGGCGGGCGGGCACAGACGGCTGGGTCGAGCGGGCGTGTCGCTGAAGCGTCAGTCCTGCATGAGCCACGAGGAAGTCTCGAGAGACAGCGCAATGCTGAAAAAGAGATCGTGAGAAAGTTTAAAGCGAGAGGGTGGATCCTGAGTGCCGAGGGCGCGGCGTTTCAACAATTGCGGTGGGATATTCCACGCGGCAGCGCGATCCCTACACAAGTTGTCAGGACATACTGCGCGAGAGCACGATTCTGAACACACAGAAGAAAGAAGTGTCAAGCGGGAGCCGTTGTTGTTGTTGTTGTTGTTGTTGTTGTTGTTGGTGTTGTTGTTGTTGAACATTATTTCTTAAGAATAATTATTGTTGGGACCCCTGGTGCGCGACCCCCCCGCCGCGCCTAGGCCGCAGCCACGTTTTCATCACTTTCGTGAGGAAGCCTCAGGCAAAACGATGTGATCCAGATCTGGTTGTTCTGTTGACGCCCGCTTTCCCTTGCAAAAAATAAGCTAAAGTGGACATTTCTTGTTCTAACATAACCAAACTTCAAGAATCCATTGCAAAAAATAAGGTAAAGTGGACATTCGCGCGCGCAAGACGAAATCCTTCCAAAACCTTAGTTTTCGTAGCGATTTTAACATAAAAACATCAAAAAACCAATGGTTTTCAAACAAAAATTGTCAAAATTTCATCCCGCGCGCTCTTGCGGATTCGTAGGAAACCCAACACTTTTTAAACATTTCTGTCAAACGGGCTTTTGCGAGCAACTTTTTCGAACTTCTGCAACAACGGTTGCGCACCTGCCAGGGCCATCATCCCTGTCAAATAATACCATGCGGGACACATTCGTTTTTTCTTCGCGCGCGCACGCCGTCGTCGTCGGCCGCGGGGCCCTGAATAGTAGCCACGGTCGTCCGCATGCCACGAAGTGAAGTGTCCGAACGTCATAGGGCGGGAAGCTGGGTGTGGGTGGTGGCGAAGAGTCGTTTGGAAATTTGGTAGAGCTTGAACCGGCCCCCCCACAAAGTGGGGGTATTGCCCGCCTCCTATGAAAACCCTGGCACTGGTGAGAACGGAGTGTCCCCACGTGCTAGTAATTGTTGTTGTTGTTGTTGTTGTTGTTGTTGTTGTTGTTGTTGTTGTTGTTGTTGATCGGGGGGGCAACAGCGCAATCTGATGCCAAACACTTCCCCTTGTATGGGAAGGTCATTTCAAGTGACAAAAACAAAGTGCACCCGGGGGGAACACCAACAAGTATCCTTAAGAACTTTGAACTCAACAAACATCTAAAACATAGACTCTGGGCAATGAAACCCCACCTCTGTCACACACCATCGGATGGTGTGAGACAATTCGGCCTCCTCGCCCTGACAGTAGACACATGATGTAAGACATCTTGAAATAAGAAATCTAGAGGCACGTTCGTCGTGGAGCGTTGATCTTCTTGAGGTGCCACAAAGATCGTGCAGGCCCAAAAGGCCATCATGGGGAGAAAGACACATCCGTGTGGCACCTGCTGACGGGCAAGCTTCTCATTGACAGTCCCCGCCGCAGCGAGGTCCAACTCAGAAAAGAATCCTTCACATAAAGACGGGCTGTGTTTGTGTGCTGTTTTTTTCTCTCCCAACCATAGATGTCTGGAACCCCGCTGTCCCTCAGGAGGGGCATCTCCCAACGGCGCGACAAAGGCACCCACCACCACACCCGTGCACAACACGCCCGAGAAAAACCAAATCGCCCCGCGATGGAAGAACCCGATGGCACTATAAGCGGTTGCACCCAGTACCAAGCAGGGTGTCCAATACAACGCCGCCAAGACATGAAGAGGGGACGGGGGATAAGACGTACCTGGAGAAGTATGCTGGGCCTGTTCCCCACAACCACCACCATATGTTGGAGGGGAGGAGGAGGAGGACGAGGACGAAGAAGAGGAGGAGGAGGAGGAGGAGCACCCCCTCCCTCTCCTACCTATGGTGGTGGTGGTGGTGGTGGTGGTGGTGGTGGTGGTGGAAAACAGGCCCATCAAAGTAGCCACCCTGGCCACCATCTCCCCCCCCGCCTCTAGGCCTCCAAGCCCTCACCTGCAGCGCCTTCGCCTCTCCCCGCCGCCCTTCCATCTAAGCCCAGGGCTGCCAATTCGCCCTCTCGCTGGCCGTTCCGCCCAGTCAGCCGACCAATCAACCAGCCAGCAAACGAGGCGAGGAGGCGGACGAGGAGGGCCACGTAGGAGAAGGTGGAGGAGGGGGGGCGGGCGGGAGGAGAGGGGTGGGGGAGAGGGCGAGGGAGGAGGAGGGAGAAGGGAAGTGGAGGAAGGAAGAGGAGGGAGGAGGAGGAGGAGGAGGAGGAGGAGAAGGAGGAGGAGGTGGAGGAGGAGAAAGAGGAGGAGGAGGAGAGATGACTCCGACCAAGGCGGGTGACCAACGACCGACGACGAACAAGGACGACGAGCCACTGGCGACGAGAATGACGGACGTTGAAAACGAAGACGACACAGGAAGAGCGAAGGAAGAAGGGGGGAGGGGGACGAACTGGGGGCCCAAAAGTGGCCGCTGGTAAGCCCCAGGACTCGCGTAAGTAGCACAGCGGGCGTCATCCTGAATATACACGGCTGCGCGCGTTGAGAGCGTGGTTGCCTGGTCTGCGAGATTGACCACCTGGATTCTTGGCAGATCGACTTCACGAGGGGGTAGGGGGTTGTTTAGGGCCGAAGGGTCAGGTCTGCAGACGCCCAGGAACGGGCGTCAAGGGGTGCAACCACTCTGCGCGCTTTAACGGCGCGCTCTCACCGCCCCCCTGGGTGCACTCCCTTGACGCCCCCCTTTGCTGCACCCCCTTGACGCCCCCCCTTGATGCACTTCTTGGCGTCTCCTTTCTGGTGGGCCTGCAGAGGAGGGCGCTCTCTGACTCTGAGCCCTACGGTTAAGGAGGGGAGCCCCTCCCCCCCCGCCCAGAGGGGGACAGCCCTGCCGCGAAACGCGGCAGGCCAGGACGCGAGCTTCCAGCGCCCTCGCGCCGCGCTCCTCGCGCCCTCGCCCCTCCTGCTCCTCGCCAGCCACGTCCTCGCCCTCCTCTCTCCCGCTGGTGCTGCTCCTCGCTCGTCGCCGCTCCACGTCCTCCTCCTCCTCCTCCTCCTCCTCCTTCTCCTCCCTCCTCATCCTTCCCCCCACTCCTCTCTCCTCAATCCTCACTCCTGACGATTCCTCTTCACTCTTCACTCCTGATTATTCCTCCTGCTGTCTCCTCATCCTTCTGTCTCCTCCTTCTTCGGTAATCATTATCCTCCTCCTCCTCCTCCTCCTCCTCCTCCTCCTCCTCCTCCTCCTCCTCCTCCTCCTCCTCTTTCTTTACTCTTTATCCAGATCTCTCCTCACTCTGAGGCGGCCCCGTCTGCTCTGTAGTTAGTGTCACAGTTTGCGGCCAGGCATGTTTCTGCGCCGCTCGCTCCTCCTCATCTCCCCCCTCCCTCCTCCTCCTCCCCTCCTCCTCCTCCTCCTCCTCCTTCTCCTCCTCCGCACTCCTCCTCCGCACTCCTCCTCCGCCCTCCTCCTCCTCCTCCTCCTCCTCCTCCTCCTCCTCCTCCTCCCTCTTCGACTCCCCCTTATCCTCTCCTCCCCGAGGCGAAACAGGGGTGAGGAAGACACGCTGATGGGACAAATCAGCAATATTTGAGCGACCCGGCGGCTCCGAGGCGCCCCCCGGAAGGATCCGGCAACATTCCAGGGCGAACTTGGCATCGACCGGTTCCTTGGAGAAGCGTGTCCTGGACCCCCTGAGGGCTTCCCCCCAGGTTTCAGCAATCTCGAACCGTTTTTCGACGGCCCCCTGGCCTGGGGAGCGCCACGGGAGTCCAAAAATGGAGGAAAGACCTCAGGACACGTCTCCTGCAGGATATTCTTTGCCTCGTGGCGACGAATTATTATGCCCTCCTCCTGGGTCTGCCAGCCTGGCTTGGGACGCGCAATGATATATCAATACTATGTGTCCTCCTTGGAGGCGTGCGTCCTACCCGAACATCCAAAACAAGCATATCGTAGTGTACCGTTTCCCGAGCGGCAGGACCAGAAAGCGCCCGCCACGGAACTTATGCCCGATGACCCCGGGGGGGGGGTCGCCGCACGCGCATAGTACTAATATGCTGGGATGACGTCAGTGGCTCCCCCTCCTGGCTTCGCGGTCCTCCAGCGACATGGAGCTAGGGATGGGGTTGGTGTCGTTGGAGACCTTCGCGGGGTGTCTCGGCCGTGGGCATGCCCGCAGGAGGAGCTGAGCAGCGAGCAGGGAGAGGAGAGGCTGGGGGAGAGCGGGGGAGGGCGAGGGGGCGGAGGCGGCGCCAGAAGGACGCAAGAATGACGCTTGAGCGGGGGAATGGGCAGGAACGGGAGGGAGCGAGAAACGAAGGACAAAAAAGAGGGGGAGGAGGAGGACGAGGAGGGGGAGCAGGAGGAGGGGGAGGAGGAGTAAGGATGAGGACAAATGAGGGGAAGGAGGAGGAGAAGGAGGAGGTGGAGGAGGAGGAAGAAGAGGAGGGGGAGGGGGGGCTCTGTTCATTGCGTGCAGATGCGAACGTAAACATCGAGGCGTCAGACACACGCTGATGGGAACAAAACACAGATAACTTGCCAGACAATGGACCGCTGCACGTGCCGCCGTTCGCTCCAAGGAGGAAGAGGAGGAGATGGAGGAAGGGCGGAGCAAGGGATGATGATGACAAAGTTGTTGTTGTTGTTGATGTTGATGATGATGGTGAAGAGGATGACGCTGATGACGATGACTAAGAAGTTGACGATGCTGATGCTGCTGATGCTGCTGATGATGCTGATGGTGGTGGTGATGGTAAGGATGATTGGGGGGATTGTGAGGATGACGGTGGTGATGATGATGATGAGGATGGTGGTGATGATGGTCACGACTACTTGGGTGAGCATGGTGGTGATGGGTGCGGTGATGATGATGGTGCTGATGGTGACGATGACGATGATGGTTACAGTAGTGAAGGTGGTGATGATGAGGTGGTTGTGAATATGGTGATGGTGATGGAGGTGGTGGTGGTGGTGGTGACGATGATGTTGCTGATGCTGCTGCTGATGGCGATGGTGTTCATGCTGATGATGGTCATGACACTGATGATGATGATGATGAGGAGGAGGAGGAGGAAGAGGAGGAGGAGGAGGAGGACGAGGAGGAGGGGAGGAGGAGGACGGCCAGCGTACCATGGGGGCCCTCGTCCTCCCCTAGGGCGGGGGCGGCGGCGGGGGCGGCGGGGCCTCATGCGTCACGCTCGCCTCGACGAGGCGAAGCACTCGGAGTGCCGCACCGGCAGCATCGAGATTAGTCTGAGGGATGAGAAGAGCCTGGGACGGGAGGAGACGGAGAAACTGGTACATTTGAAAGGCAAAGACAATTTCTTCCAGAACAGAGACGGCGCAGCAACCAGGGACCCCGAGACGGCCCAAAAGGTCGGAGGAGAGAGGGCGACATCGGAGGACAAGAAAGATGAACCAAGCTAACCTGGGGCCGGACAAATCCGCCGACCCTGTCGGCGTGTGGGAGAGGCTTTCCGAGGGCTCCCTATACAAATTCACACAACAATTGAACAACGTCGTCCTTCAGTCGATGGGAAGCCCCTTCCCTTGATCCCTTCCCCGCCTGGGGGGGGGGTCCCGGGGCAACTCCCGGGGGGGGGGGCCCCCCTCACTCCCGGGGGGGGTCCCCCCTCGGATACGCAGCCCTCCGCCTCTCATCCTCCTGCGCCCTGGGGCTCCGTTGGCCCTTCGGGGCCGTTTGCGGGCCTTTTCAGCCTATCAGTCGAAGGGAAGCCCCTTCCCTTGATCCCTTCCCCGCCGGGGGTGGCGCGGGGTCCCAGGGCAACTCACGGGGGGGGTCCCCCGGCGGATACGCAGCCCTCCGCCTCTCATCCTCCTGCGCCCTGGGGTTCCGTTGGCCCTCCGGGGCCGTCTGCGGGCCCTTTCAGCCTATCTTAACGTTCCTTGGAGACCTTTCGCAAATTTCAGACTCTCTTGGCAGTCTCTGCCGGCACTTTTGGCAGCCTCTGCGGGCGCTTTTGGACCTCGCTCGAGCATCTTGCAGCTGCCGCTCGTGGTGCTCCGCCTGAGAGAAGTCGCTCTGGCCCCATCGTGACTGAGCTCGCTCTTTTAGCTGCTAGCACACGCCGCCTGCCGCCGATCCCCCTCCACCCCCTGCTCTTCAAGCCTCAGCGGGGTGCGCAGGTAGCTTTTGCTTCGTGCTTTGAGGATAGGTCACTCGTTGGGCTGTTTCGGAGGCGTCTCTTAACGCTTTTCTCTGAGTGTGCTCCAGAAGCTTTAGGATGTGATTTGCAGGATGTGAGGTCTTTCCTGAGCCGTGTTCCCCCATCCTGGGCCTGGGCGCGGTGTAGGATTGTTTTTGATGGGTGGTTCACTGGCAATCGCATCATCCACCGGCGTGGTAAACTAGGCTGTACTCTAGGCTGCGAGAATGAACAGGATCATCTCAGACACTGTTGCGAAGGCCTTACGGCCGATGCCGACGACCCTGTAGGCAGCGACGACGAAGACAATGGAGGTAGAGGAGTCCAAGATGCCCTCAGACGGCTCGAAGACAACGCCAGAGACCTGCAAGGTCGTCCGAAGACAGCTCAAGAGGCCTCCTCCAGGGTTCGGGAAAAGGCTCCAGAGAGTGCCAAGATAGGCAAAGAGCGCCCTCAAGTGTCCCACGTGGATCTCGAGTTGCTGGGTTTTTTTTTAATAATGGGGTTCGACAGTTGGTCGAAGGGTGGGGGAAAAGGAGGTCTAGGTCTGGGCCAGTGCTTAGTCGATCTGCTCCTACCACTCGCGCAAGCATGCTGGGGGTGGCGGTCCTGACAAATCGCAAACAGCAGGCTCAGAAAGCAGCAAAGATCTGCTCTATGGCGGTGTGGGGGGGGACGGGCGGGGGCCCGGAACCGACGTCCAGCGTTTCCAATGCGTGGCGTGCTGGTCGTCCAGTAGCCACTCACTTGTCTTGGCGAGAGCCCCATTCAATGCCCCTCCTGGTACAGGGCATGGTGGTTTTCAAGATAGGTGTGCACATATTATGTAAGTTACGTTTCGCACTCGTCCACACATGTAGCACAACTTGCGGTCCGATGCAAAAGGACAACGACCTCTGCCACAGGCGCCTGCTCGGTGGAATCGGCCCGAAGCGACACGTATCCGTAGGCACGGTAGTTCACGCCACCCTCTGGTGTACAATGAAATTGGGGATCCGGGGATCCTACCGCAGTGGACCCTGGTTTAGCCTTGGTCCCACACCTTCAGTGTGGGCGGCGTATGGCAGACCCCGTGGAGATGGATGACGAGTGTTATTATGTGTGTAGATATTGTCGCCATGTCCATGTTGGCGGCGGGGGTGAAGAGCCACATTTTGTTGCGGCGCATTCGCCCGCATGGTTGCCCTTCTCCCATTCCTGTTGCATGCGATGATTGCGTCACCCCTTCGCTTCTGGGAGCTGCCTCTCTGGAAGCAGGCAGACCTTGGTCCATGCTCCTCTTCGTTGCCCATCCTTCTCCCTCTGCTGCCTCCTTCCTTCGTGCTCCGCCATCCCCGTCCCCCCTCCTGTTCCTCCTCCTCCCTCCAGTTCCTCCCTCCTCCTCCTCCTCCTCCTCCTCCTCCTCCTCCTCCTCCTCCTCCTCCTCGTCCTGCTTCTGTTCCTCCTCGTCCTCCCCCTACGCCTCCTCCTTCGCCTCCTCCTCCTCCTCGCCTTCTCCTCCTCCTCCTCCTCCTCCTCCTCCTCCTCCTCCTCCTCCTCCTCCTCCTCCTCCTCCTCCTCCTCCTCCTCTCCTCTCCTCGTCCTCGTTCTCCTCCTCCACCTCCTCCTCCTCCTCCTCCTCCCCATCATCTTCCTCCACGTCCCCCCTCCCCCTCCTCCTCGTCGTCGTCGTCGTCGTCGTCTTCCTCCTCCTCCTCCTCATCCTCTTTCTCATCCCTCCAGTCCTTAACGAGTGCAACGGTGCCCTCAAGCTGGCAAGCCTGAGCTGGATCGAATCGCAGAATCAGATCGGATCGGAAACTGAGCGGATCGCCGACGGACAGTCCCGAACAGATCGCCGCGCCCGGCTCTGGCTGGCCCCTGCCGATGCCCGTGCATCGAGCCGAACCGGATGGAATCGGAATCTCGGCCCCAGCCGGGCGATACCCGCGAGTTGAGCCGAGTCGGATCGGATCGGAATCGCGGCCCCAGCCGTGCGAATCGAGTCGCATCGACGCGGATCGTGGGCGGCCCTGGCTGGCCTCAGGCTACCATCGGGAGCGCGGAAGAAGGAGCGAAGGGGCTCTTTTACGGCCGCGTCGAGCTGCGGCCACGAACGAGTGCCCCGACCCGAGCCCGAGGAGCGCCCTGGGAAGCCAGGGCCCATCCCGAAGCGTCCTGGAGCTGGGGGCATCCCCCCTAAGACAGGCTTTTCGCCCTACTGTTACGTCGGGTGTGTCCCCCTACAGGGGGATTTTAAGCGAAAAATCAAAAATACTCCAAAAAATACTTCGGAGTAGCCAAAGAATACTCAAGAAGTCGTCCCAAAACTATTTTTAACTACTTCTGAACATTCCTCCTGTCGGGAGACAGGCCCGCCTCAACCCTATCTGGGCCGTCGTCAAACGTTCCCGGGGCCCGTGGGCCACGAGCGAGCTCCCCGACCCAAAAAACTGAGGAGCGGCCCCGAAGCCGTGGCCCCTCCTGGGGCGGTCCTGGAGCCCGGGGCGCGCCCCCGCGAGGCGAGCTTTCCGCCCAACGGTTGGCGGCGCGCGCACGGGGGCAGGTGGCGGGGGGAGGCCTCTTAGAAAGAGGCTGCTCCTCAGAAGGCGCCGGCTCTGCATCTTAAAGACACGGCCCGCGCCTCCTAAGAAGCAGGGGTGCTTCTGAGGAGCCTTCTGCCCTCCCCCTACACCCCACCCTTGCGCGTGGCCGATGCTGAGCCATTTTCAAACAGTCCCCGGGGCCCGTGGGGGGTCCAAGGACCCACGGCAA